TATTCACCTCAACAAAATAGGGTGGCAGAGAGGTTGAATCGATCTCTCACGGAGAAAGCACAGAGTATGCTGAGCGGTGCAAGCTTGACAACTGAGTTTTGTGTGGAGACAATGGCTACTAGCTTTCTATTTGAAAAACGGGTTCCCAGGCTTTGAAGGAAAAGACTCTATTTGAAAAACTGTTTGGGAAATGGCCAGACGTATCTCATATCAGAGTGTTTGGCTGTGAGTCATACGTAAATGTACCCAAGGAGAAAAGAAGCAAGCTTGACCGTAAATTAGAGAAGTGTATTTTTACTGTGTACAAGGATCGCGTCAAAGGGTACAAATTGTGGAATTCAAATACTAAAAGTGTAACTTACAGCATGGACGTTGTGTTCAGGGAATCTAAGCTGAATCAGATTTTTGCGGAATCTCCTTAAGAGGATGCGATAAACACACAGGTTATAGTGGAAAGTTCAAATTCTGAAGTTGCTGAATATAATGGGGTAAGAGATGAAGATTCTGAAATCAAGACTGAAGTTGAAGCACTAGCGCTAATGAGGTCCACAAGGGAAAGAAATTTGTCTAAGAGGTATACTCCTGATAGCTATATCCTTTGTGCTAGTGATGACAGTTGTACCCAGAGTATTGCAGGTGATGATCTAAGCATTGTAAAACAAGTTAGGAGCTCAGAGGATGCCAAACAATGAAAGGTAGCCATGGAAGATGAGATGAAGTCTCTTATGAAAAATAAAACTTAGAGTTTTGTGAAGCTACCAGCAAACAGAAAGGCAATTGGTTGCAAATGGATGTTTAATAAAAAAATTGTTGCTAATGGGGAAATAGAGCATTATAAGGCTTGGTTGGTTGCAAATGGATATTCACAGACATAAGGGTCAATTTTGGTGAGGTGTTTTCCCTTGTTACAAAGTTAAATTCCATAAGACTTGTTATATCTATAGTAGCTTTGTATGATCTAGAGGTGGAGGAGTTAGATATGAAGACTTCATTCCTTAATGATGATTTGGAGGAGGTTATTTTCATGAAGTAAAGAGAACCCAGTCTGCAAGCTGAATAAATCTCTGTATGGCCTAAAACAGTTCCCCAAGATATGGTACCTGAAGTTTAACACTTATGTGGAGAAGCTTGGCTTTGATCGTTGCGATGCTGATCATTTTGTCTATGTGAAAAGGTTAGAAGGTGACTTTGTTATTCTAACTTTGTATGTTGACGACATGCTACTTGTTGGGAACAGTTTGAAGATGACCAACACTATCAAAGGATTGTTGGCGAAGTAGTTTAAAATGAAAGATCTAGGCACTGCAAATGTGATCTTGGGCATACAGATCAAGAGGGAGTGTGACAAAGGAAGGTTATGGTTGAGTTAACGAAAGTACATAGAGGATGTTCTAAAGAAATTCAATATGACTGATTGCAAACCAGTGTTGACTCCCATGTCTACCGATTCCAAGTTATCATCTGACCAATGTCCCAAGACTGGAGAAGAAGAGGAAGAGATGACATCAATTCCTTATGCTAGTGCAGTTGGAAATTTGATGTATGCCATGATTTGTACTTGTCTTGATATTGCTCAAGCAATGAGAGTATTGAGCAGGTATATCTCCAAGCTAGGAAAAGAGTATTGGATAACAGTGAAACTTGTGTTATGTTATCTTCATGGTACATCTGACCTTGGGTTCTGCTATGAAGGCGTGAAGGGCTCAAGGGGACAGACATTATTAGAGCGAGGTGCTTTATGGATGCTGATTAGGGAGGTGACATTGATAGTAGAAGATCTACAAGTGGATAATTTGTTTTATTATTTAGCGGAGCTATCAGTTGGATGAGTAAAGGCAGATCACAGTTACTTTATGTACTACAGAGGAAAAGTACATGGCCTTGACACATGCTGTCAAGGAGGCTAATTGGATGTGCAAGCTGTGTAAAGAGCTTGACTTTACACAATGAGAGGTGGTCGTTAGGTGTGAAAGTCAGAGTGTTATATTCTTGGCTAAGAACCCAGGCTTCCATGCAAGACCAAGCATATATGCATATAATACCACTCTATCAGAGAGAAGATAGAGATCAAGGTTGTAGTACTGGAGAAAGTTGACACAAAGGTGAACATAGCTGACTTTCTGACCAAGACAGTGAATTCCGAGAAGTTTGAATGGTGTACAGCTGCATTGAGACTGAAGAAAAATGCGAAGCATTCACCAGGAGGGAGAATGTTGGGTATGACTCATATTTCGCATTCAGATGATGACTCTTGTTGGCGGGGCGTAGAGAAAACCAACAGGGGTTCTGTTCTCCAGTGAGCGGGCGAGGGTCCAAGGGAGTCATCTCGGCGAGGGTGTGGAGGTAGCGCCCTCGGGATTGCAGAGGCCTGATACTGTTGTGGGCCTCTGGCTTATTTTATTTTTCTTTTGCTCTTTGGTAGTTTGAGTTTGAGCCCATTAATAGATGTTGTTGCTTAGGATTTCTAATTCTATTTATATTTCTCTTTTAAACTAAGTGACTTATAACAAGTGTCGGTGAGGAGAATATAATGCATGTTCCTGGACGTAGCCCACATTGGATGAACCGATGTACATCGTTATCTCAGTTTTCTTCTCTTTCTCTCTCTTTTTGATTCGCGATCATATGTGTGTGTGTGATTATGTCGATTCCAACAGATTGGACTTCAAACAGTATTGTTCGTGGTAAACTTATGTTTAATCATAAATATTATGGTAATATGCTTAGGGTTTAATGTTTCTCATATTGTAGGAGATAAATTTATTTTTCATACACATATAGAAGTGTGTGGGCACTATATTTTTATTTTCTCTCTCTTCTTTTAACATGACTCCACATAGATTCTGCACACTTTTATATCAATAGTGTGTAGGAGATAATTTTATCTCTTATAATATGTGAAACATTAAATCCATGAACTTATTATTATTTTGTTTAGTTTATTCACTTTGGTGCCAAATTAATATACGATCCCTATAGTTGTAGTAACTTTTATGAAGCCTAGATGTATAGATTGTAAATATTTTAAGGGAAAAATATTTATCATTTTAAATACACGATTTTGTGTCATTTTTAATGAAACTATATCGTTTTGGTATTTTTTTATATTTTCTTTTTTTTATAAAATTTTGGGGGGGGGGGGGGGAGGGGGGGAGAGAGAATGCAAAAATACACCAAAATGACGTAATTTCATTAAAAATACTTAAAGTTGTATCATTTAAAATGACAAACACTTTTCCCATATTTTAATTGCTTAAGCAGTGGCTGAATGGTTTGTTTAATATAATTTGCTGAGAGCATGATTCATGAAGTTACCCGTGTATCTTTTCTTTATATGCATATTGCCTAAGGAATCAAGAAATTAGGAATAATGTCTTTCTGCATTTTTAATACGCACAGAGCTAGTTAGTTTTATATTTTAGTTATCTTTTTGTCATTATTCTTCGCATGTTTTCCGTATAGTCTACAGCTGAGAAATTGTTTCTGAAAAAATCATGGAATGAATTCTTATTTTTATATCGTAATGCAAGGGTTGAAATTTGATTGATTCTAAGGAGGAAAAATTAAAAGAAAAAATGACTTGAATTTGTTATTTAGATTTAGCTTATGAATCCTCTGTATTCACACATGAGGCTCTCAGTTACGTATTGCCAAGCTTTTTTAAATGATTACAAAACTGATTTTGAATAAAAACCGATTTCGAACCCGTTTTAAATAAAATCGGTTGTGAAAAAAGTAAAATAAAATTGGTTCGGTTTAGTTCGATATTTATTAAAAACTAAACCAAACATGTTTGTTACCACGTTATAATGACATTAGATAAAAAGGAACACCAAAGCTATAAAAATTAACCATGCTTCACTAAGTTGAACACCTGGAACGGGAACGGGATCTTAGAAGAACACTCCGATCCCGAACCAATTCGTTTTCCTTTCCTTTTTTTTTTTTTTTTTTTCTACTGGCATAAGTGTAAATGAGTGGTAACGGAAGTAAATATTCCGAGAGTTCAAGAGTTCAGACCCATTTCTCTCCTAAACAATATAAAAATGCAAATAATTTATGGATTTTGGCATTATGTTGATCATGTCATGTGAATTTCAATATTAATATAAAGATATAATTGAAAATGGGAAGCAGGAGCTCTTAATTATGGTTAGAATTGCTTTCTCGATGTGAAGATTTTTGCTTATTTTCCAAACGTGGTTGTCATACTTGGAATATGAACTAGAGTTTGAGTTAAAACAACATATTTCATGGCTTTTGTGTCCCCTTTCTATTAGTGTTGTTATGTAAGGACATCGGTCTTCCTTCTTACTAGTACTTTTTTCCCGTTAACGATAGGTCTAAAACCACAACTCCAAATAAGGGTATTGATGTTTCTTCATGTTACTTTATTGACGAAGAAGATAGATTTCATTGAGAGAAAGGCATAGTAGCAAAGTACAATGTTTGGAACAGCAAAAAGACAGCGTAGTTGCCGAATAGTACGTTTCTTCACTGAAGTTACAAATCTCAAAATGTCCGAATAAATCTAAAATAAGAAGCAATTTGCAGTTACAACCACCACAATATATATATATATATATATATGAAATAGGATCAATTTACACTACACCAGTGTAAGAATAACAATAACAAGACTTACACCAAATCTAACCGAAAATTAAATACAACGAACATCTGAGAGGAACAAGAATATCCATAGCTGATGGTATTACAAATGAGGAAGATTTCCCATGTCCCCAAGGTTTAAACAAGAACCACCATACCTTAAAATATGACAACTAATTCTTGAGACAACGGATCCCTCATTTTGAGGAGGGAATAATTTATCATTCAATGTTCTTTCTTATAAGAATACATGAAACTGAAAACAGAACAACACTGAAACCCACAGAATATATAATGAAAGAATAAATGAAAAACCCCTATTACAGGTAACAATGTGTCAGCCCCCCCCCCCCCCCCCCCCCCCCCCCCCACACCCCACCAACCCCCTTCCTCTATATCTACACACCCGAAAAATACAACTTCTTTCCATCCAAAAATTCGTGCAACTTTGAGGAGCGTGTGTCATATTCAAGGCATTGCTTCTTTCAACATACAGTGTAGCTGAAAAACACCTTCAGCTTTTATTATTTTATGAGTCGTCACAATTCAATCCACAAATTTCCAAGACAGGGCCATCTCTTGACACGAAAGGGTTAATTCGAACCCACAAGAGAGTCAAGATGGAAGCTAGAAGGATTGACCAAACCAATACAATGGTTGGCATCCTATCTTGTTTACCAAGCAACCCCTTAAGGAATGGGTAGAGATGGATAATGACCCACAAGGCAAAGAATAATCTACCAAAGAGAGGTCCCCATGAGTCATAACCATTGTTGATGGCATCTGAGACCCCAACAACCACCCCAACAATATTCATTATTAATAACGTAGTTGGAGGAATTAATAGTGATGTCCACTTGAAGATATAGAGCTCTGAGAACTCTCCATCATCAGCTGCTTTTGAGGTAACAGTAAAGTTTGTGTTGACACCAGCCAAAACCTTCAGTAAACCCTGAAAAAGGGCAAACAGATGTGAAGAAGCACCTCCAATCACCCAAAACTGTTCATTCCTCCACCAATCGTCTATACCAACACCACCCCACTGCATCTCAAGGATACCAGTTGCTGCTATGGATATGAAGAGTGCCATGAACACAATACTGGCATAGTTGCTAATCTGCATATAAAATAGAATGTTGTATGTTAGTGGCCAAAGTATTGTTTGAAGTAAAATCCAACTGCTTAAAGGGACAAAGTAACATCCAACACTTTTGACCTTCAAAAAGGTTTTAAGGGAGTCACAGCCACCCAACTAATTGCTCCAAAACAATTTTCATACTAGTTTTCTACACCTAGCATTATTATTTCCAAAAACAGCTACTCTTCAGATACTAAATAAAACTCAAATTTACCAATCAATTTGACCTATCAAAAAGACCTTTGCAAAACCAATTTAGTACGGCATATTCTTGTTTCTTAATTCCTAGGTTGGGGAAGGGGAAATTTAAATGGAATTTCTTCTCACTGAAAGACATAATAGATACTGCAAACAAGCATACCTCAGGTACAATAAACTTTCCAGTCAGAAGGCATATGGCTGGTAGAGTACAGTAGACAATCAATGGGAGGGAAGTCCAAGGATACACGACCGAATTTATGTAGGAAAATCGTTCCAACAACTTCAACCCACCACCGTAGCCATACCAGATTGGACAATGTCTGCTGAAGAAAATCTCAACAGACCCGAGGGCCCATCGAAGAACTTGGTGTAAACGATCTGAAAGGTTGATTGGTGCTGACCCCTTGAATGCAGGCCGTTTAGGGATGCAATACACAGACCGCCAACCATGGCAATGCATTTTAAATCCAGTCAAGATATCTTCCGTCACAGAACCATATATCCACCCAACCTGGTGATAAGCCAAAAATCAAGAGCACAAGGAAAAAAATATAAGAACTAGAAAACAAGTTTTTCCAAAAGAATTAAAAAAAAAAAAAAAAGACTTCCTTTGGCACTTACTTCTTTTCCCCATTCAGTTTTGTCTTCATAACCACAACTGATGACTTGGATGGCTTCTTTTAAAAGTGAGGCAGGACTCACACCATGTGGAGCTCCACCATTTTCCAAAAGTGTGGAGGCTACAAACACTGGAGACTGTCCAAACCTCTTCTCCAATTTCATTTGAGTCAAATTGGATGACTTGTCATTATTGGGTCCTGAAACAGAATGTATTTAGTATTATTATCAAGGAATTTTATTACAGTAAGTGTCTTGATTTGTAAGGACAGCCAGATATCCAAAATTCTAACCTTCATTCCCTGCCTCAATATTTTCAAGTGCGTGTATCTGCTTTGATGCTTCACTGTGCTTCACCTTCTTCTTTTTATCCTTAGCGTTTGCATTCTTTTTCTTTCTAGAGCCACAACATAGGCAGCACCATTTTGGCCAACAGTTACAGGTTTTGCTCGGTGGCTTCTTCTTGGCAGGTGCATCATATCCATAAAGCGCATATCTTCTGAAAACACATCCAGTTCCAACATAAATTGGACCTTGTATTCCATCCAATCCTTTCATATTGATCTGTTTTCAATTGGGGAGTTAGTAGTTGTCATCAGAAAAGGCAGAGAAAAAATCCAAAGTAAATAATGAAGCAAAAACTTACATCAAAAAATACAACATTCCTGTTTGAGTATCTATCATGGCGATCAATCCCATCAAATCTTTGAGGAAATTGTACATAACAAATCTTCTTCCCAAGTTGAGGGTCCATCATAAAACACATAGCTTCTCTAAGTGCCTTGCTATTGTTAATGTAGTGATCACAATCAACATTCAGAAGATAAGGTGCATTTGAGATAATTGCTGATGCCCGTACCTACAAATATTTATTATTATTACAAAAACATGTTACTTGAGGCCACTGGATCATCAGTTGAACCTGAACCAAAATAAAAGTAACTTGAGACTTACGAGAGAATTCATTGCCCCAGCCTTTTTGTGGTGTTCAAATCCTGGCCTCTTTTCTCGAGAAACATAGACCAAGCGAGGCAACTCATTTCCTTCAACATCACGAACGCCATCCTGACCAAGGAAGACCTGTGAAATACAAAAAGAATATCATCATTTCCAACTCATGAGACTAGTGAAATGTTACAACTAGGATCCAAATCTTGTAGTAAAAGCAAGAAAGTGGCACAATCAAGTCTACTAGCAAGGCATGAATATTTTTCAGTATATAATGCAAATCAGTTTGAAAATCACACCAAGGTTTTCATAATTCTAAGCACCAGACAACTCTTTAAAAGCTAGAAAAAAAACAAATTGATTAAAACAGAAAACATAAAAAGAAAATAGGTATTCAATGTCATCTCACCAGAATCCCATCACCATATACAAAAACTAATGTTGGCGTCTGTTAAATTGATATATCTTCTTACCTGAATCATGCCAGGATGATCCCTCACATTATTTCCAGGCCAAGGAGTCCCATCCTGCATGGTCCATCCATCCTCAGGAACTTTTTGTGCTGTTGACACCAAACTGTTAATCCTCACCTTAAATTCTTCATAATCCCTCTGTAACAACCAAAAAGAAAAAGACCATTAATAGAGTCAAACACAAGAATCGAATTATATAAAATGAAAGAAGTACAAGCGGAGAAAGTTGAAACCTTCATTGCTCTCCTTTCCCTGACAAATGCTGGATGTACTTTATTTTTCAGGTAGTCAATCTTCAGACCAAAATACCATTCTGGAGCCCGGGGCTCAATATTGTATTTTTTACAAAATGGAACCCACCTCCTAGCAAATTCAGATGTCTCAGAGAGTGCTTCAAAAGTAAGCATGGCAGCACCGTCATCTGAGACATAGCATGCAACTTTATCAACTGGATAATCAACAGCAAGGATAGATAGAACAGTGTTTGCTGTTATCAGTGGAGGCTCTTTCATGGGATCAACTGTACTGACAAAGACGTCTATATTGGACAACTCAGATGGCTTCCCTTCCTTTTCATACCTGCACGCATGTAAGAAGCCAATATTGAGCCACATACTAGGAATTTGAGCATGACAAATAGAATGAGATACACTAGACATATAATTAATTGGGTACAGAATAGGCGCAAATCAAGAAATAAAAATCACCAGATATGGTAGGCTCAATTACCTCAGTGATAGACGATCAAGGTATGTTTCTCGCTGTATTGGGTACCATTTTGGAAACTGGTCCATTATCCATGATACAGCAAACCATATTTCACATATGACTGACGTCAACCACAACCCATATGCATCATTAACTGGGTGGAGAATTCTATAATGAAAAAAAAGCCCAAGGATTACAAGGCGGAGTATTATAACCATTCTGTATGGATTTATCTTGCTTGACGGGATAGGTATCTTTCGAGAAAGTGGCTGCCTGCCTTCATCCATCCTGATATAATATATTGATCAAAAGAATGTTAATGAACAAAGCAAAATATATGGCAGAAAATTAGAGTAATATAATTACTTCATTCTAGGTGAACTTGCAACCCTCCTACCCCAAAGAGCATGCTCACAACACCTAAAAACTAACAAAACAATAACAGATTGTTTGGCCAAGACATACGTATGCACCGACAACTACCTACATACATTTATGGATGTATGTCTTTCTTGATGCAAAATGGTTTGGCCTTGATGTTAAAGAGTGGCGCTCCAGTTGGTGGCACTCCAATCATGGAGCACAATTAGGAACTTAAATGGGAGCAAAAGAGAATCCTGAGTGAGAGACTTACATGGGCAAATCAGGGTCCTCAAACTCATCACCAAAGTCTCCGTCATTGCTCCCTTCATGCTTCACCACCTGAAGTTTGTCATTCTGCCTTTTCTTCCAGTCCTCCATCCGGTCTTTCCAAGCCACACTTCCATACCCATATACCGCAATATCTTTTTTTGGAACCATCGGTCTGGGTTGCACTATGACAAAAGAATCACGAGGGTGACAATATATACAGATAATACGAATTGTCAAAATGCAGAACTAAACAATTGTACAAGACTTACGTGGAATAGATGGATCAGCATAAGGCATGGGATGGACTCTGTTCCCATGATTCATATATGGGGGAACAATTAGAGCATGTCTATCAGATGATATCTCAGGATCCTATAAATAACAAAAAAAGTATTATGTAGGGATCATGGTTGCCATTGTGAAGTAATGCACATGTTGAAGGAAAATCAGACATGTCAAAAGGGAAAATTGAAGATATACCTCCTCCCCATAAGTCAGGAGTGGGATATCAGAATTGAGAGGAGGTGAGCCATGTTCAAAATTTGTGGGGATGCCAGATATATTAGAATTAGAACCACGTCCAGTGTTAAGGCGTCCAGAAAACAATGAATCTGAAGTTTGTTGCCGGCCCAAAGCATCCGGGTTTTCATAATCAAACTCATTGTCCAAGTCATCAATATCATCCTCATCTTCATCACCTTCAACCCTGGGAGTACCTGCAATCCATTCATTTGTAAGACTATAAAAGAATGCCTACAACAGAGGAAAGTTACCAAAGTCAAAGTGAGGAATACAAAATCAATCTCACCTTTGATCCGTTTGTATCTGGTCTTACACTGAGGGCAGGCCTGATTCCCCTCTCGCCTCTCATACTCATAGCATGGCCGACAAACAGGGAAAGCACACTCATTGCAAGCAACAAATGGCTCACCATTCCCAGTAACCTCTATCTCATCCCCACAAATCTGACATATCTGTCCACTCAGTTCTTGAACAGACTTAATCTGAGAAGAAACAAACCAAGAAAACGAGAGTTTAGTGTCATCAGCAACTGATTTTACAATTCTCTAGAAAACTAAATGATCTAAGAAGATCCAAGTTTCAAATCCAAGTTTCATAAACGAGCTAGAAAATGAAGGCAGGGAAAAAAAAGACAAATTTATTCACAGAATCATCATTGATCTTTCCAAAGCTAATTACAACATAAGCAAATCATGCATCAACATCAAATCTCCCCATATCTGACTAAATAATTGGCAATTCTTCCACCCTCGCCGGTCAACTAAATCTGATATCAATGTCACCAGCGATAATACACATAATCCGCATAAACGTATATGCATTGTAGACCACTATACACACACTCCATAAAGGTCAAGCCACAAACTTCACCCAGATCAATTAAATCTGAAGTTTATCCCCCAGAGAAACCAAAAAATAGAACTTCAATTTCGAAGAGCAGAAGCTCACAAGCCATTTTTTGTTCATAGCCAATACTTTAGCGGAAAACATAACACATAAAAACGCAAAATCGGAGCACCCTTCCCCCAACTAATAACTGAAAAGAAAAGAAAAGAAAAGAGAGAGAGAGAAGAAGGTAACAACAGAAGCAGCATCAAAATGTAAAACAACAAAAAAGATGGATACTTTTTGTGCAGAACTAGAGATCAGAAGAAGAAAAAAACAAAATTTGGAACAGAAAATTATGCAAAAACAACTTTTGCTAGTTAGGGGAAGATGGGGTAAATGAAGAGAGGAAAGAGGAAAGAGAGTTTACCCGTCCATTCTCATCTGCATTGATGAGGACGAACTCGTTCCTGTTGTGGGAACCAGCAACGAGTCGACCACCAGTGTTCATAACTCACTCACTCACTCACTTTTGTTCTTGTTGGACTTGAAAGTCTTCTCTTTAAACCCTTCTTCCTCTTCTTCTTTCAGAAGATCCACTTTTGCATTGGCCAACAACACAACACAAAACAACACCCACTACCATCACAAGCAAAACGCAAATAAACGGATCCAAAATCACTCCTTTTTGCTTCTTTTTTTTTATATATAAATAAATTCGTAATTCTAACGAAAAATAAAATACTTTTTTAAAGGGTTGGCTGTACTTTGGTTCCTTTACAAGGAAGCCACCGTCGGGAGGTCCTAATCTAAGGCAATATTTAGAGAGAGAAAGTGAATGGTACAATACAAAGAAGAAGAAGAAGAAGATAGAGAGAGAGGGAAAGTGCGTGTGTGTGTGTGAGTGAGTGGAGATGAAGACGCGTAAGAGAAAAGGAGATACAATGTAAGAGAGGGGACAGAGAGACAGAGAAGGGAGATCGAGAGTTAAAGCAATGGAAGTAGAGATTATTAAAAAGAGGAAAAAAAAAAACAGACACCAAAATTATAAAAAAAATAAAATATAAAATATATAGAAATTAGGAGTGAGAGTTAGTAAAGAGTGAGGTGGGTGGTGTGGGGCCCAGATTGTGGTGGTGGCGCTTGGCACGGGCTGTGCCCCCCACCGGAGTTTGGTGAGTAATGAAAATGGAAAATTAATAGTTTTCTTTCTTTGCTGGTGTCTTACTATTATTATTATTGTCTAAGCTGCATTGAAAATGATTATTAATGTTTTTGTTGTTGTTGTTGGTTTTCATGAGGTGAGAAAAAAAGGTTAAAACCGTTATTATTACGAAATGGGTTTTTGTTTTAGTATCGTGTTTTTTTGTTGTGTTAAAATTGGAAAAAAAAAAACCCTCTTTTTTTTTTCTCACTCCGGGTCCAGCACCAGCACAGTTGGGTTTGAGAGTGGAATCAGATCACGATTCACTGGCACCTACTAGATTGGAATTTTGAAGAGAAACTACATGGAAACAAAGAAAGAAAGGAAAGTGATTGAGTGAGAGAAAAAGGTTGGGTTGGCTTGGCTGGAACTGGCAAGTAGGATCAACTCACGCGGCGTAGACCATGTCCTTTAATTTCTCTATCTCCCTACATAGTACACACACTTTACGTTTATACCTATTGTGAATATACGCTTTTTTTTTTATATACTAATCATAATTATTTCTTTAAAACGAATAAAATTTTTAAATATTCTTATAAGTTTCAGCTCTTTAATTCAATTAGGAGACTAATCCTAAATTCGAATTGGATCAAAAATACCTCTTTGAAAAGTGATATTGATAAAATTGAATCGAGATCCTTCTTCTCACTTATTGTAAATGTACGCTTTGTTTTTCATTTAATGTTTCATTCACCTATTGTTATGTGTATAAGGAAATATAAAATACTCATAACTTCTTTTGGTATTTATGGTACATCTTTTTTTTGTTTAGTACAATTTATTGTACAGCTTTACTATTAGCATTTTCGTGTAATTTTTATTTGGTTATTTTAACTTTTGTATAATTAAAGAGAATCGAAATAAGAAAAGAAAGGGACCATTCGCATTAATTGAATTGATATATTGAAATATATTCGCGAAAAATTGAAACATTTTTTAAGAAATGAAAATCTAGCAGATGCAGATCTATACGGGAAAAATCTGCTTAATATTGCCGCATCGGATCAAATCTACAAGAATCACAACCGTCCAATTAAATAATATTAATCTAAAGATTTCTTTCCCCTTACGAATAATATTGCATCAACCATACATCTAAAAATAAATGCAGAAAATATTTTTCCAACCAAACACTTTGAAATTAAAAGAAAAAAGTTTTAGAAAAATAGTCCAAAATCCATAGGAATCAATATTAACTTCAATTATTGACTAATTCTTTTTTTTTTCTTCTTGCATAAGCTATGGATCTAGATTGGTCTACTTATTCTTTACTTTATAAAAAATCGATTAACTTGTGTTTGCTACTAATAGGTTTGAGATGATGAGGATGACCGACACATAAAGTATAAATGATTGACCGAGAATAAATAAAATGTATTCCATTACAGCTAATCATAGAGTGCTGGAAACTAATAAAGTGAAGCATATGCCGGTAGTTTGTTGACCCTACTCCCTAGCATAACATCACGACAAGGAGAACGTGTTACCTTTTTAATTCTATATATTTACCATAGTGCATTAGATAAATGAATATTTACGGGTGGGACGCGTGTGAACCAATTATTTAGTGATGAAATCGTTTTGATTAAAAAAAATCATAAAATTATCAAAACAGATATTTAAATCGAGATTTAAATTACCATTCACTCGACAAAGAAAAAATGCATTATATGCTCTCTACACAAACAAAATTGAAAAATTAAGATTGTGAATCTGAAACAAAATTAAGGCATTTATTTAACAAGATATAGATAGATATGTTTAAATTTAGTATGAAATTTAACTATATTATGTATCGTACAAAAAAACTATATTGGTTCATAATCTTTAAAAAAAAAAAATTATAACGGGAATTGAGTATTCTGTAAGCTGCAACCTGCAATCCCCTATTCAGTGTTTGTGGACCATAACATATTATGTTGATTTATGCTATAAGGGATTGGGTAGTTAGATCTGTATATTTGATTGCATTTGGGTCCACTGGCTTAATTATGAACTATATAGTTATTAGTCATGTTTGGCTGATTCTCTTAAATATACTGATAAGGGTTTGATTCTTGGTTTGTATATATGAAATTTTTTTGTGTTAATATAGACAAAATTCACTTAGATAATCTTCACGCCTCAAAAAAATTAATCTTCCGTTACTTAAAATTCAAAACATGGGTTGGCCAATCCATTCATAAGTCCATCATTCGCTTTGTCTGTGTAATCAGATTATTGAATAATAATTCAAGTTGTGCTTGCAAACCAAAACACACCATTTCTAGGTTTGGTTTATTGAAATGGAAATCCTCAAATTTCATACTTACCGTGATTTTTTTTCTTCATTTTGTTATAAGGGTTTATTTTTTCTAAAGTTATTTTAGATAACTTTATCTAATGTTCACTGAAATAACGTCGTTTTGGAGAAAAAATTCATGATGTATTTGTAATTTTAATTTATTTCAAGGTTATAATAAATTTTATCATTCTAATTTTTTAATTTTTCAATCTCAAAATGATATTATTTAAAATAATATTAGATATTTTTCCCTTTATTATAATTATAAGATATTCATTAATGACCTAAGTTTAGACAATTTTAAAAATAAAAAATAAAAAATAAATATTTAATATCCTAAAAAAATAATTGATTTTTAATTGATTAGTAAAAGATAATTAGTAATATTTTTATTTGTTAACTATGTCTTACAGACATACATTTCACTAAATCTTTATTATTATAACATGCCTTGAGTGTAGAGCAATGTATTTACTTTCTATGTTTTTAATCACAAAAAACATAACAAATTAAATTAATACTTGGCATACCATATACCACGTCCTGTTAGTTACTCTAAAAATTAAATGTGATGCTACAGTTCTTTCTGAGTTGTTTTTTCTTTCTCCTCTTTTTATTATAATAATGTTTATGACTTTTATGCCACATGAGCATCATCCGCTGTCGGTGGTGATATTTTAATTTAATATTCAATTAAAAAAGTCGCTTTCATTAATTTAGGAAAGCTTGTCCGCGTCACGTAAAAACAACTGTGATCGTGATTTGCGTATGATTACTTCGCAGTTGCAACATATGTTAGTGTTATCCTTTTTATTTCATTAATTAAAAAACGGTAGAATATACACTGTATTTAGGCTGTTTATGTTTTATATTTCCCAATTTGTCTTCTATTCTCCTAACTACCAAATTTACAATAATAAAAAATAGAAAAATATTTATGCAGTTATTACAGTTAAATTATTCGTATTTATTTTTAAAACGATGTTATTTTGAAATTAAAGTATTAAATAATTATAATTATCAAGACTATAATAATTTTGAAATAAATTAAAATTACAAAAATAACATGATTTTCGTCCAAAACGAAGTTATATTAGACTTACCGTAAGAAAAAACAAACCCAATAAAAAAATAGGGTTTTTTCTCCTAATCACATAAAGTGATACCTGTCTTGAAGTAAACTATGAATGATTGATTTTATTTTATAAATAATATTTCATATTCAAATTTTATGAATAAAATCAATAAAAGTTTTACACCTTTAAGTAAATCTTTCTCGTAATCACATTCAGATATTAAAAAAATATGAAAAATGTCATTTTAGATTTTTTTTGGTACATACGTTTTAGTTTTTTAGTTCTTTAGTAATTTATTATGTACGTATAATTGTCGCCTACATTTCATATTGCTTTAATTACTTGGTATTTATGTTTTAAGAAGTTTTGTCAATTGTCTTGATGCATTAAAAGGCGCTGCATTCTTAGAAAGTAATCACTAGATTTTGATGTTTTAATTTTTTTTGAACATTTTACAATCAAAACTTTGTATGAATATTATCCGTGCACTATTGTTTGTGATTTAATTTTTAAAATTATATTTATTCAGTGAAATTATTGGAATTTTTTTTATTATTCATTTTTCACGAAATATAGATAGAAACAAGCAAGTTTTAGTCACTACCTAATGGTCATGGAGTTTTAAAATGAGAGTAAAAAAACAAGTAAGTTTTAAAAAAAAAACTCCTTAGTCAAGTTCTATGTTTAATTATACATTCTTAATCTAAAAGTCGAAGTAAAAGTTTAATATAGTGCTCTAAACATATACCTAAAATCGAGTGGATCTTTACTCAGAGTAGAAAATAAATCTAAAAGAATTTAGTAAGCTCGTTCAAAAATAATACATCAATGAGAAATTTGTTCAATAAATTAATAATTTTTTTTATTCTATTATATTAGAGGATAGGTTAATATAGATATAACATAACTAATAAAGGCGCCATAGTTATTTGTATTCTATTTATAGGTACGTTATATTGTTATTTATTAATATTTATTTTGTCAAATTACTCCTCAAAGTATAATACTATATTGATCCTTGAAATAAAAAAAAATGACATTAATCTCTTTAACTTTAAATGACTAAAATAAAATTATATTCTTTAAATTTGCATTAAAGTATTCATTCTACAACACATGGTTAAATAATAAGGTATTCTGCAACATTTCCGAATCAAAATAATATTTCAATTCTACATATTTTTTATTGTATTTTATTTTCTCTCAAATAATTTTAGTTATGAATAACCAAAAAAAATGCTATAGTAACACTTAATATTAACAGAAAGTTTATATCTTATAAAGTATATAATGATACATATTGCTCAAAATAACAAGAAAGGGTATTATGATGGATGTATAACGATTACTTTGCAATTGTTGAATTTAAATTTGATCAAATGTTTGTATAAACCGTAATGACTGAACC